CGCCGCAAAATCCGTATTTTTTGAAACCTGCATATGCACCACTGTGAACTCAATGGAAACATTGATTGAATCTTTGTGTGAAACAGTATGACATTGCTAAAATTGAATTTTTTGAAAAGTGCGGTCATCCTGTGTGTTCCGTCAAATAAAATAATTTTTGAATCAAACATATCAATATTAGCTAGCCTTATATTTGTGTAGAAAACTATTACCTAAAAGATTATAGCCATTTAAGTTTTTAACGTCCACGCATTCAATAATAAAACTATGCTCACAGAAATTTACCTCAATTGAATTTGTATCTAATAAATCTAAAGGGGATCAATTTGCTGTAGTACGGGTCACGTTCTTGCCTGGAATAATATCATGATTCATGGGAAGTGTAGCGCTACTTATTATGCTAATCGATGCCCCGTTTCAATGAGAAACTTTGACTCAATACAATTTAATTTCTCAATTATTATAGGTTGAAAGACCGATGCGCAACTTGAAAAAATGTTAAAACAATTAGAGACAACTGTGATATTTAAATTATTTTGCGCTAATGCTGCTTTCGTAATGGGGACTGGTGATTGAACTTTTATGCTAGGTCACGAAGGAATGTCAAAATTCGACCTAATCATCAAATTTGGACTTATTCGTTTTTTTGTGTTTGCTGCGGGCGCCGCTGATTAGGGACCCACTTATTAGTAGACGGACCTCCTGTGCCCTGATTTCGCCCACCATTATTATTGTTATAATTTTGACCTGAATTATTAGAAAATCTGTTATTATTATAAGAATTATTATTATTAAAATTGTGATTGTTTCTGTAATTACCATTATTATTATTATTATTATTATTAGAATTGAAAAAATGACCGACTGTATTTCGATTTGAATTATTGTAATTTTGATATTTATTATTATATCTAGTGTTATTGTTAAAATTATTACCATTGTTGTTACCAAAATTATTAGAATTATTATCAAAATTTCTACTGTTATAATTCAAGTTCCTATTATTATTATTGAAATTCCTGCTATTATTCCTATTATTATTCCCATTGTATTTATTTTNGAAACTCCTGCTATTATTCCTATTATTATACCCATGGTACTTATTTTAACTTGAATTCATACTCAGATTCTTCTGAAGGGTTTGTGTCAAAATGTCAAGCTGTAGTATTTTTTTATTATCGTCTATTTGCTTGTTTATGCCTTAGCTCGCTATTTTTATAATGTTTTCCTCTAATACCGATAGTTTTACTAACGTCAACCCAGCCCACTCTTTCGAAATACTGGTCGGGCAAACCATTTAAAATTGTGTCTCCTATTTCACTTTCTGACATATCCTCGTTTGCTCTCCTGCATTTGGCTTTAACATTAGAAAAGTAATCTAAAATGCTTTCGTGGTCCTCTTTTTTCCTCTCTCTTAATTTCTTAAGTCTCATTCTTCTCTGGGCTTCTGAATTGTAATATCTAATCATTACATTTTTCATTTGCCAAGTAGGCACGTTCACTTCTGCTTCTTTATTTTCAAACACTGTCTGTGCCTGGCCTTTAAGGGAGATTGGTAACATAACGAGTTTCATATAATCATCCCAACCGTTAGCTTTCGCAACCCGTTCGAAATTTGAAAAAATCTAATAATATCCTCCTATAATTTACTCGAGAACTGTAGAATTTAGCTAGCCATAGTAGTTATTAATTTAACTGGTTTATTTTCTAAAAGTTTTGATTGGGCGAAAAGAGGTTTAGGTTCTACGGTGATCTTGGGCGAAATTTCTAAAGATTTTGTTAAGGAAATTCGATAATAGTTTTTTCGAGATTGGTTAGCTTGTTTGATTCACTCTAGGAAGCATTCTTGTGCCTATTGGGACCGGCAGAGTACTTGGAATTTTATCAAGTTTTTCTGCCTCGGACTCCGAATAAAATTGGTATTTTTCTGAGAGGGGTGGTCATTTGAAAACAGAACGTAATTTGTTTATCAAATCTTAAGTGTGACTATTAACCGGCTGTTCTTCGTTTAAAAAACTTAAAATATTAAGTAACTCCCCTTTTGTACAATAACAAAAATAATAACCTTACGTATCTTTTTTTAAAATTTCAATTTTTTCTAAAAGGAAGATTTGTTGAAACTGTTTAGGTAAATATTGCCGTTTACTTTCTCATTTATAAACTTCAAATATAGAGCTTTCGTTGATTAGAGTTGCTCTTACCGGAAATTTTATAAAAGTAGTATGGTCAAAAGCCTTCGAAACAGAAATATCTATATTTTTTCCAAATGAACTAATAACCTGATCTGGTGTTATTTCCTAAATATTACTATCATAACCTAATAAATTCCAAACTCTTTCGGTGATTCTACAAGTTTGATTATTGAAGGTGTGTTTTAAATAATAATTATAGAGAAGCATATAAACGTATATAGAAGATTATGCAACTCAAATACTTAATTTATAGTTATACCTAATTATAAATTGTTATTATTATAATAATGTAAGCCAATAATAAATAAAAAATATCTAATTTATAAATAAACCGTGAAAAGAGGTATATAAAAATTGTAGTGCACTTAGGGGTGGATCCCTCACTGAAAGGTTAAAATAAAACAGAGAAATCGGTGCCTCCACCAATTATTACGTCGCTATTTAGGGGTTGAGCCTAAATGCCCGTCAACAGTATTCTAAGGGACCAACGGGGAATAGCTGACTATACTATATCTACCTTAGGTACTGAGGTTTCTTATTTAATTTATATTCCCTTAGAGGAACTACCAAGGGTCGACCTACAATATATATTTATATGTAAAACTCTTGGTTAACAACAATATAAATATTTATTAAGTAAAGATTTATTAAATAATACAACCTGCTGGACACCTAGATATGATATAATCCAACAGGGAGCTGATGGCGACACGCACACACACAATCTATTTACGTGGTAGAAAAATTAAGTCAATTATAAGACAAGAGTAGTGGTCACGATGATGGTAAAAAGTCAACTGTCGTTAGGGATATTTTATCATGGCACATTGGCCATGAATTGCAAAAGTGTTTATGTGTGCAGTCTGCCCTCTTGTTAGTATTTTTGTATGTTACTCTGTCAAGTATATATATATATATAGTACAATAATGTGGAGGCTCGTCCAGGCGTTCGCCGAATCCATCTTGTTAAAAAAGGAGGAGGCGGAACGCCTGAGACAGAGGCAGCCATGACGTTCGGCTCAGGAGGACCTGAGGTGCTGGTTTAGGCCGGTGCCTTAGGTTCTTGTTTTTTGTGTTTTTTTTGTTTTTGTTTGTGAGTTGTTTTGCCGACCCTCCCTAACGGTTGCCACTCTGGATCCGGTTAACAGGAGGGGACCACACCACGTTGCGAATCAGTTTTTAATTAATTTCGGGCTGATTCACTACGTGGTGGTGTGATATATTAAGACGGCGTGGGCCACCCTGAAATAATGCCTAACAGCAGTTCCAGGGCGGCTCATAATTAGTCGATCGTAAAAAAAAGAGTCACCAGCTAGGACTTTTTGGTCTAACTAACCGTCCAAACTAACCGCTTCTGTAGTCGGACCTTTGCCAAAACCTCCTTTATGCACTCCACAATCTCACCAATATAAAGGGTGTTGATGAAGTATCTGGGGGGATGGCCGTTGTTCTGTCCGTTCCAGTGTTACTCGAGCAATCCGTTTCTAATGACCTCCCGGCTATTTCACTGGTGGGAGTGTCTTGGTTGTCATAATTCTCTGCAGTCACAGTACCATCCCCGTGGTTGCCTGCAGGAGCCACAGGAGCCTCAATAGTCCTGCATTTAGTATGTATTTGATTGATGGGTACGCCCTCACTAATCACCGGCACTGGAGCATCCGAGTCCCCTGATGCAGTAACCGTCAATCCATATAGTTCCATCGTCATTAAGAAATATGATTTCGTTAGGGGGCTACCCTCTTAGCCTATCTCTCTGGCTAGTAAGCGGCTAACTTTACGGGTTTCGTGGCTATTGATCTCCATATGCATCCGAATCGACTATTAACTTCTTATTTGATAAGCGTTTACTTATACAAACACGCTTTTCTTTGATTTTATTTTACATTTTCTCATCATGGCAGAAGAACCAAGCAAGCGTCCTACTCTACCTCCATATCTTCTGGATATAGATACTCTTTCATCTCCTGCTTATGAAAATAATGAGAGAAGTGATAAAAGTAGTCCGCAGTTATAGGGTACTCCTAAAGCTAAAGAAGTGACTGATAAGAAAAGAGATCTTCTTGAATGAATGAAAGCCCGAAATGATGATACTAAAAATACTAATGATGACTATCGAAAGATTTTTAATGAAATCCAAAAGAACTTAGATATCCAAAAAGATATCCATCATTCTAAATTGTTTGAGAGGAAAAAAGTTAGTGTATAACTTCATGATTGTCTTGTTTAACAGATTGGTATGTTGAAGGAGAAAGTATTTTCTAACGAAGAGTTCTTTTGTATTTTATAAAAACACTATATTTTTTTAGAAAACTTTCAAAAAAAGTAGCAGAGCTACAATAGCCATTAGGGTATCGACTCCAAAATCTACCGTGTGGCCCAAGTCGTCAGCTCTCAATATATAGAAAAATATTAAGATATTCTTACTACATCTATATTATTTAAAAAGTCATATAGCAGCAAAGTATGAAATTTTCAATATCAAAGAAATTATTTTTCTAAATTATTTTTTTTTCTATATTAAAGAAACATATAGCTGTAGTCGTTAATTCATCAAGAAAATGTAAAACATTTTAATATTATATCATATAAAATTTATTTTATTTGTTTTTTTTAATTAAGTTTTTACACGTTGAATAGTAAATTTATACGCTTGAAGACGTCATAAAAAAAATTGTTTTTAAGTATAAATTTAATAATGTCAATACACAAAAATCTAATTTTCGTTTCATAAAAAACATAATTTTAGATTAAATTATTAATATACACTATTTTAGTATAAATTATAAAACATTATATGTAAAATTTCACAGGTAGAATTTAAACATTTGAATAATTATTTTTTTAAATTGTTATTTTCTTAAGTAAAAAAATCATTTTAATGCATTTAAAAACTATACTAATCGTTTATTTAATGTGTTTTTTTAACGGAATAACAGTAAGTCCATTAAATTTTTTATTTATTTATTTATTAAATATGATAAATTTGTATTTAAAGAACGAAGGACTTAATCTACGTCAAATAGAACTCTTTGAAGCTTTGATATTCAGTAAACATGGTAAAAAAATGTATAAAATAAAAGATGCATTAATTGGTCATAATATCCAAGAGACCTACAATGATTATAAACTTGATGGTAATTTATAATTACTATAATTTTTAGCTTCAGATTTATTGACACAATTATTTCTATATATCTGTCAATTAATATACTTTGTTTACTTTAAAATATATATAAAATATAAAAATAAAAAAATTCTCAATTTTAAATACTATAAAAATATACTTATAAATTTTTATATTTGAGTGTTTTGAACATTTGTTACCTTGAATTAATTTTTTTAATACTTTTAACCAGACCAGACTACTAACTTTTTCAGCAAACAAAAAATATTGTATTATTATTTGCTTCAAACTTATTAATTTTCGTGTCAGCAGTTTCATAAATACAGTTCGGTTAAAAAAAAACAAGTCAATGTGGTAAAGGCGGCATTTTCGACCAAGCTTTTGCAAAGGACACTCAAAATAAATATAAGATATAACGTGACGGCTACCAAAAACTGTGATGGTTTGCGAAGAAAGAAGCAGAACGCAGCTCGATCTCAGCAACCCAATTAGAATAAGATCGCTTATTTAAGTTCGATATCGCTGAGAAAGTAATGTTTTAATAGAAACAAAAAATAATGATGGATAATGTGATCTTAAAAATGTTACGGTGAATATGCGAAAAAACATATTTAGTTTTATGTATAGAATTTTTACTTAAGTTATAAAAAATGTTAATAATGTATTAAATATTGTTTTTATGTGTACGTCATGAATCGCCATGATTTATTTAAATACGGTGAATGTGAATTATTATTTTGTACACGTATGATAGAATAATGATACTTCTATAGTGTATATAAGATGATAGTACTTCTCAGTTATAATGAAACTACAGACATGAATTTAAACTTAACGGTTCACCGCAAATATACATACAATTGATTAATATACGATGACAGGTATCAAACGGGTGTAATAATGTTATACTGCAGTGCGCTACTAGTAATATATATTTAATTGTTGTTGAAACTCGTTAGTAAAATATACATATATTTCGTATTTGAATTAACATTGAGTAAAGTTTTATGGCGATGTAATTATATAAACTAATATTATTCGACGATTAAGAGATGAAAAAAAATTTTTTTTCGTATTTTTCAAATAATTTTATAGTTTTGATGCGAAGCTAAAAAGATATTAATTTTACTATGATGTGTTTCTTAACTTTGATGCTCACGCCTACTATATATATTACACCATCGCGTTGTGAATTAGCCCGAAATTAATCAAGAGCTGATTCAAAATATGATCTTATCTCCCCAGAGTAGGATCCATTGCCCAGTTTGCACCACGTTGAGGTGAGGACGGTAAAAAAATTTACGACACATATAACATACAACACTAACTCTTAAGGCGCTGGCCTGAACTGAATCAGCGTATTCCCTCGGTTCTCCCAGATTGGGTACGAGTTTTTCCAGGCTGTTCATGACTTTCTGGACACGCTGGTCTATACAAGTTATGTGCGGCCTGAACTTAAGACGTTTACCTACGACCAGATCCAGATTAGTCATGGAGTCCTTAAGCGGCATCTTCAACCAAAACACGGTATGCTTTGGAGGAGTGAAATTGTACCTNATCAAAGTTTTATGGCGATGTAATTATATAAACTAATATTATTCGACGATTAAGAGATGAAAAAAAAATTTTTTTCGTATTTTTCAAATAATTTTATAGTTTCGATGCGAAGCTAAAAAGATATTAATTTTACTATGATGTGTTTCTTAACTTTGATGCTCACGCCTTCTGTATATATTACACCATCGCGTTGTGAATTAGCCCGAAATTAATCAAGAGCTGATTCAAAATATGATCTTATATCCCCAGAGTAGGATCCATTGCCCAGTTTGCACCACGTTGAGGTGAGGACGGTAAAAAAATTTACGACACATATAACATACAACACTAACTCTTAAGGCGCTGGCCTGAACTGAATCAGCGTATTCCCTCGGTTCTCCCAGATTGGGTACGAGTTTTTCCAGGCTGTTCATGACTTTCTGGACACGCTGGTCTATACAAGTTATGTGCGGCCTGAACTTAAGACGTTTACCTACGACCAGATCCAGATTAGTCATGGAGTCCTTAAGCGGCATCTTCAACCAAAACACGGTATGCTTTGGAGGAGTGAAATTGTACCTGCCTGTGGTCCGTGAACCTTCCCCTACTANCTGCCTGTGGTCCGTGAACCTTCCCCTACTAAAGACGAATTGTTTCTTGACTAGACCACCAACTTCGGCAAGGTGAACCTCGATTTGGGTAACAAGCAGCTGTTTGAGTATCTTCCCCAGGTCGCCCAACATGCACAGCGATCAGTACGACGAAGGGAGACTCTCTTATCACACTTTCTCAGAAGCATCAATTTGGTCTTTTTCTACCTCGCAAGAAATTCACGATCCAGGAGGCAACGGTTGGGAATGCACGTATCTAATCCAGCTCGGTAAACTCCTGATTAGAAAACTCCTGCATCACCACGCCACCCTGATTGCCGTGGGAGGCTGAGGCGGATGTGTCAGAAAGATCGTTTCTACCGTTTTTTCTAACATGTCCGGCTCCAGCTGACCCGAAGTTTCCGCACAATTATGTAACATGATATTTTAATTACTCTCTATTTAAGATATTCATATTTTATAGATAAATTCAGTGTAAGAATTTTCAAGATTTTGAAATTTTTGGTTAAAGTTAAAAAGACAGGCGATGACAAAAAAGTAAAATCACATATTAATTGATTTATTAGTCTTTTTATCTGAATGAATTTTTTAATTTAGTTTTGATTGTTTAGGCGGAAAAACTTGATATAAATGATGTTGAAATTATCTCAAATGTTTTCTGTAATCTTGACACAGACAACGATGGCTTGATAAATAAGGAAAAATTCATTACATTAATTGATTCTATTGGCTACTGTTCTTCTACTGGAAACGTAATTATAAATTATTTTATAAACATTTATAGTTATTTACGCACGACTTACACGAGTTGCCCAGCAATTTTTTCTCTCTACTCAAAAATAATAAAGCCTATAGTGATTTTGAAAAAATTCTAATTACAAGTTTTAAGATTTATAAGCTAGTTAAATATTATTGACACCCTTAAAAGGTATTAAGGATGAATTAAAAATCATATATATTCATTTTATTTGTTTATTTTGAAAAATTTATGCCAATTTTAAGAAAAAAAATTTTAAAAATGTCGAAACATTCAAATTTTAAAAATTAATTTTCTTTTAATTTTTAAGAGCAATGTCAATGATAATATTTGCGATCTTTTTACGTATCGTTAAAAAAAATTGGTCAAGTAAGATATAAAAATCAGACAACAGACTTAAAAAAAAAACACTTTATAATAAAATAATTACCTTCTCAACTTTGCTTGGAAGCTAAAAAACTATTCCTAAGTGTGGATTTTAGGAATAATATTCGAAAATTTAGTAAAACTTTATTACATGTTTTCAATATCATAATGAGAATAGTCATTATAAAATTTAATTNAATATCATAATGAGAATAGTCATTATAAAATTTAATTAGGGTGATAACTTTATGAGTTGTTAAAATTAAACTTTATATCCTATTAAATAAGAGGAAGTTTTAAAAAAAAAATTAAATAAATACGAGGCAAAAAACCTCGCCTACAAATTAAAGGGAACAAGAGAAAGAAAAATAATAAACAGATCGTAATAAAAATTGTTCTTCAATTACAAAAGTAGCACTGTTATTAAGGCTATTGAAAATTAGCCTTAGATATTTCCGTTTCATTTGATATCATTTTTTTGAAAATCTAACACTTATTCTGCTCACAAAGGGGATTTAAAATAGCAACTTTTTTACAAAAACTAACTTATTCAACTTAATTTTTGAAAATGTTCCGGAAATACGGCGTCCTTTAAACATATATCAAATTAAAGCTTATTTTATGCACTATAAAATGAAAAAAAAAAAATTTGTCCCGATGACCTATGCGCAAATGGCTACCGTATTAAAAAATATGCTATTTTTCTATTAAAATTCTAGTTTTTGTATTTTATTTTATTTTAAAATATCTTATATAGGAGAATACATGGTGAAAATACCTACCGTATTTAAAAATATGCTATAATTATGTTAAAATCCTTGGTTGTGTATTTTATTTTATTATAAGGGGATTACACTGATTTTCATAAATATTATATCAATCTAAATGACATAGTATAAAAAATTAATCATATTTAAATTTTTTTGTTACTTTGAAGTCGAGAAAAATAACTTTAAAATTTGAACTAGCTAAATTTCCATTTTTATTAAGAGACGAATGAGACGTACGGTTTTTGAGACGGTAACACTTGGGTCTTTCACGACTGTGGCACTGAATTTTTTTTTTATTATTTTTGAGTTAAAAAAAAAAGTTTAACTCATTTGATTTTTATCTCATTTAAATTCAATAACTTCAATAAATATCAAGGATTCCATTACTGTAGTCTCCTCTCGTGAGAAGAAATTCATATTAATATTATTTTACTATGTGGTTTTTTTTTTGTAGCTATCATTTATTTTCTCAGCTCTCATTTGACCTACTTTTTTGACAAATTTTTTTTTTTAAATTAAACACTATCTACAGATTTGCATCGAAGCGCTTTTTGTGATAGTGATTTTAATCACTGTCAGATATCATCTATACTAGACCCAACTATGCCATGACCCCACTGTGCTGGGTTTTTTTATAAATGCATTTTTTTTTGGATTCTTTTTTTTCTTGAAAAATTATGCACTCATCAATAACAACAGTAGTTAAAAGTAGTCATTATAGCTAATATTGGTCATTAATCTCTTATAAAATAATACTCGTAATTATCCAACTATCGATGGAAGTTTACTTGTTAGTTTGAATTTACAGGGAAGTGACTAGTGATAAAACTAACAACATCCGTCTCATCACTATATAATATTAATAACTTCCGAAATTATAAAGAGATCTTGTTTTAATAAATTAAAAATACTTTAAATTCTATACAAATTTTTGTCAATTAAAAATCTTTTCGAATAAAAAGCAACATAAATTTAATTATATGTAAAACTTTAAGATTAGAGAGCCAAATGTTAGTAAAGTCCAATAGAGTTCAAATTTTACAAGGTATTTGTTTAAATGCAAATAAAAAAAAAATTTCCGGGTACCTATTAAAATATGGAACTTGAAAAATAAGGGTATTTAATAAATGTATAACAATAAACTATTTTGTATATTTTAGGTAGTAACACTGAACGAAAATAACAATGAAAAACTCAAAAGTACTTTAGTTGATATGAAGAAAAATATTAATGACCAGAGTAAATATTTAACAAATTTTTTAAAAAATTGATATATTTTTTAATACAAATGTAATATTTAGAGCATACATTNAATACAAATGTAATTTTTAGAGCATACACTATACAGATTCAATGATGTGCTGATAACAATATTATTCTACAAGGCAAAATTTAAGAATACATACTTTGGTAAATATTACGATTTTAATGCCTGTGATAATATACTAAATAAAATCTCAAAACATAATAATTCAAGTTCGATATATGATCTTTATTACAAATATTTTTAACTATTATTTAAAATAATCTAAAATAATAAATAATTTTAATCCTTATATCCAATCATTAATTGTATTTCATTACTATTATTTAAGTTAATTTAAATTTCATTTTTCAATTTATTGTAGATTCTGTGCCGCTCTCGGTTTACTTGTACTTGTAATTGCTTAAAATAATCCACCAACCTTATTATTTGGATAAAAATACCAAACGGTATGTCTGTTAAATGTCATAAATTCATTTTGACATCTATTTTATTTGCATATCCTAATAATATTTTTAAGCCACGTGAATAAAAAATAATTTGGTTTCGTCATTTTTTTGTTCTTAAAACAGTGTTTCAATAAAAAAATTTCATAAAACTAATACAAATACAAATATTTTAAAAGCTAATGCTAAAATGATAAATAGACAATAGATTTAAATCAAATAACTTTCCCTGTAGGTGAACATACAGCATTATCAAGCAATTTTATTTACCCCCAATCAAAAATTTGCTCTCCCAGTTTTTTTTATTAATGTTACATTTATTTCAAAGAAAAAAATTAAAAAATAGTAATTTACATAATTCCAGATTTTTATTCAAAAGCATTAATTTTAGTAGCCTACAAGAGTTAAATTTCATTTTTTATTAAAATATAAAACATATAGATATTTAATTACACAATTGTAATTCTTAATAGTTAGTTAACTGTATGATTAATATTTTTTTAATGTGAAATAAAAATGTGTATTTAAATATTTTATCCATGTAAAACTTATTAAAATACCTTTAAACCCATTAGTGTGACATCTTAGCTTTTGGATATAAGCTACAAAATTGTCGTAACACAAATTAAACACCAAGAGAGGAGGTTGTAGTAGGTGAAGTATTTACGACAATGATGTTGAGTTTGCTGCCTGGGTATTCACATGCGTGTGATCATACAGCAGTTACCGTGTTCGGCTGACACTCCGGATTAACTGTGTCAAAAAGACGTTCTTATAGGAAGGGAATAAAGGTAACACTTAGGTATGAGGTGCAGACGAAGTGCAAAACACAAGTACTCTGAAATATTGAATATAATAAACCAAAAACAAAAAGAATAAATTAGGGAAATAATAGATTATTGAATTGTAGGGAAATATTTGGAATGTTTAATTTTTATTGATGGTTCATTACGCGATAGATTGTTGGTGGTTTGAAATCATAGGTTAAATTGTACTTACCTTACGTCCTATGTAATGCAATAATATTTCAAATAATCTAATGTTGATTCAGGTATTAAATACACAACGTATACGATTTACACTACACGTCATATAGTCAATATAATTATATACGAAAACGATTCAAATTTTAAATAATATAATTTAATTACACAAAGTCTATGACTGATTTTACTTGTAGAAGATTCTAAATACTCTATATTTTATTAGAATTAGAATTATAACCTGTCTTTATTATTTTTTTTACGTTTGTTNTAATTATAACCTGTCTTTATTATCTTTTTTACGTTTGTTGAATAAGTATTTTCTTTTGAGAGAACATATTTTATTGAAAGATCGACACCAATATTTCTTAAATATTCCTCTGGCCTAGTCAAAACAAGATTCAAAAATATTTATATCTATTTAAAAGGCGGAATTGTGATGGCCTAATGTGTCCCGGCGCTAACGCCTTGAAAAGATGCGGCACAATAATCACCAAGACAAAAATTAAACACTGCAAACATACTCGTAAGTTTCTCTGCGTTGTCTGCTGGCGTGGTTATTGTTAAAACAAAGACATTATTAACGAGACTANATTATTGTTAAAACAAAGACATTATCAACGAGACTAATTACCCAATAAGAAAAGCTCACAATAAATGTTTACTGTTAGATAAAAATTTTAAGTTGGGTTGGGTTTAT